GTCTGGTGTGTTTGCCTGGCTCACCTGAGACCCTGGGTCTGATCCACAACACCAAGAAATGAACAGGGTGATAAATAAAGGCACAAGCAAACCACATTTCTTCTTCCTAGGACACAGGGTCCCATGTAGCCCAGGACAGCATCTGAACTATGTAGCTGAGTTAGTCATGAACCCTCCCCGGACCTTCCAGAGGATAGGGTTGGTTACACCAAATGAACCCCACTTCTAGGGCTGTAGATCACCGTATGTTTATGCTTACTTAATTCCCTGGGGCCACGCTTCTTCCTCCCCTCCTGCTCCGTCCCTTCTCCTCTGCAAATACTCTACCCCCAAAGCCATTTTCCCATCTCAGCCTGTCATTTCTCAGATTACCTGAACTGCCTTGTGGGGAGGAAAACAGCCATTTGGTGACAGAGGTCAGGAATAACTGGCAAGACAAACTGGTTCTCGGCTGCACTGACTGTGGGCTTCATTATCACATTATTCCTGCCTGAGGTCTTGGTTCATACAGTACTGTTTTCATTAATACAGAATTCTTTACAAATCTCATCTTAAAATAATCAAGGGGAAAAACAGAAATCTGTGTATGGAACACTGTACTGCCCACATCAGACAGACTTCGTAAGTCTGAAAGCTAGAAATAAACTCACCACTGGGATAAAAAAGCCTGAGGCCTATATTTGATCATAGAAAGCTTCAAATATAAATACAAATAAATAACGATGGTGTGGACAGATGCTTTAAATTACTTTAAATGAAGTAATACTAGCTACCAGTAATTACAAATAGTTTAATTGCAAAATATTGGATCACATTTACTTTACGTTTAGATTAATCTTTTTTTCTATCTTTTGTTTTTGAGATAACATAATTACATCATTACCCCCTCCCTCCAAACTCCCACATACCCCAGGCACAGAGCTGCTTCCTAGAGACAGGCACCTCTAGACTGAAATCTTATCAACAGGCCATTCCACCTATCATTTTATGTGGGCACAAGGTCTGTTGATGACAGCTTTCCTGGGGCTGGGGGTGCAGCTCAGGCATGAGGTGCTTAGCATGAGCACCTGGGTTCCATCTCCAGGTCCCCAAGACTACAGCTCCTCTAATCTCCATTCTGAAGCATTCCATTTCATTCTTAAATGTCTACTGACATGGAAGATGACCAAAATGTTCTTATTTAGAGTGAAGGGCTAAGAATGGTGGCTCACATCTGCCATCCCAGCACCGCAGAGGCGGGAGCAGAGCAGAGGGTGAAGGCATTCAGAGCCAGCCTAAGCTACGTAGTGAGTGCAAGGGCCAGCTAGAGATACACAAGACCTGACCTCAAATAACATGCGTGTGCGTGCATGTGTGTGCGAGTGTCTGTCTGTAACAGAGACAATGTTCAGTGGTAGAGCCTTTGCCTCACCTATGTTGAGACCCTGAGTTCAATTCTCTATTGGGAGAGAAAAAAACAATCCTGGAGTGAAAGCCACCCTACACTCATTGCCAATGTCCTCAGCACTCAGCAGATGAAGTAGCCCAGTCTCTGGTTGGGATTTGTTTCACTCAGGAGATACACAGTAGCCCACAATCCCTGAGCTTTATATGCATGGATTCAACTAACAAGGATGAAAAGTTAACACTGTTTATTAAAATGTATAGACATTTTTCTTGTTACTTCACAAATAATCAGCCTAACAATTGTTAACGTGGTTAAATCAGACACTTAGGTTAGACGGCATTCAAAGCACACAGGAAGACATGCCCAGGTCTTACTCGCAAACGCTACATTTTGTAAGGGACCCCGGACGTCTTAAGACTTGGTACCCCCTGTGTGTGCAGCCTAGCCTGGGAACTTGCAGCAATCCTCCCTGCCTCTGACCTTGCAGTACTGGATTCCTGGCACGGGTCATCACACAGCTTCATTTTGAAGTATCTGGTGATTCTGTAAGGCCCTTTGTACTGTGTAACGTCAGCGTCCTCCCTAGAGCCAGTGTATCACTAGAAACAAACCTACAAGCACACCACACAAGCTTCCAGTCCCCAGTGCCATTCTGTCTCTATTTCCTCTGCCACTTATCACATGGTTTAGTGATGGGAATGTGTGTGTGTGTGGGGGGGGGGGGGGGGGGGAGTTGTTGTTAAAAGCTCACTAGCAAAATTCTGAATCTGGCTTCTACCACTTTATTTTTTTTTTATTTTTTATTTTTTTTTTTGGTTTTTCAAGACAGGGTTTCTCTGTGTAGTTTTTGGTGCCTGTCCTGGATCTCGCTTTGTAGACCAGGATGGCCTCGAACTCACAGAGATCCATCCACCTGGCTCTGCCTCTTGAGTGCTGAGATTAAAGGCGTGCACCACCCACCACCACCCGGCTGGCTTCTACCACTTTAAAAACTGGCTAGTACAATAACAGAAGCTTTAAAGGTAACTGAGTCCAAATTCTCTCATTTTAATATTTAGACCATAAACAAAACATTAGAAACGGACGGCTCAGAGGTGAAGCCTTCCAAGTCTGACATGAGTTCAATTCCCGGGACCCACACAGCAGAAGAGAATCAAATCCCAGATGGTGGTCCTCATGATGTGCTCAACTCCCTTACTCCCACACACAATAAACAAATATAAATGAAACCTTAAAATTTTTTAAAGAAAAATCGCTGGGCCTAGTGACACATGCCTTTAATCCCAGCACTCGGGAGGCAGAGGCAGGTGGATCTCTGAGTTTGAGACAGCCTGGTCTACAGAGTGAGTTCCAGGACAGCCAGGGCTAACAGAGAAACCCTGTCTCAAAAACAAACAAACAAACAAACAAAAAAAAAAAAAGAAGAGAAAAATCTAATATGATAAAACAGTGTTCTAAAAGGAATCCCAATCAACCCCGTTAGATTAGGATGCCCCTTGTTCTAAATGAAGGACATCTCTGATGTTGACTCCTAAAGTACACACATTTAGAGTGTGAAATACTTAAGCTCTACAACTTTTATTTGAAATCTGGTGATGATTAAAAAAAAAAAAAAAAAAGTTGCCAAAGTAAAATTACCAGTGCAACATACCTGCATCATTTTCACCGTTCCAGTTTTAGAATTTAAATCAAGTCCCATACATAAAACACATTCTGAGAACACCCAAGCACACTCCTGACAGATCCTCAGTGAACACTGACTGGGGAACTTGGTCCTTCATCGAGTTACTCTGTTCTGTACCGAGAATGTCTCAACCTAAATTCAGCAATCACCTCTTCAAAGCCTGTTTTCAATTCACCCAAAACAAGAGTGAGTTGGTGGAGAAGAGAAGCTGCCTCGCACCTTGACAGAGGAGGTCTCACTCTGCAACTCCCCCAGGCAAGTCTGCCACCAAGGTTCCTAGCCACGGTCACAAGTCTCTGGTCTGGCCACTGCCGTTTCCTAGTATCACAGTCTTCTGAACAGGGAAGGTGAAGGCAGCCAGCAGCCCATCAAGAATTGCCACAGGTGTCTGCCATCACCAGTGTGTGCCACCAGCCACCCAGCGAGACTGCAAAGGGGTAGCACAGAAACACATCCTGTATACCAAGGTGCTCATGAGGCCACTGTGGCCTTGGGCCACCTAACGAAAGAGAAAGGGTCTGAGGGCATCTGATGAGGGAGGCAAAGAAGCTTCCTTTGCTACTCCCTGCCCTTTAAGTCAAAAGCCAGAGGGTTGAGAGGTTAAGAGCCCTGGCTGCTCTTGCAGAGGACCCAGGTTGGGTTTCCAGCACCCACTCATGGCTCATAACCGCCTGTAACTTGGGTTCCAAGGCCATCTGGTGTCCTCTCCTGCCCTCCATGGGCACCAGGTATGTACATGGTGCACCATATATACATGCAGGCAAAACTTAATTCAACTAAGAACATATTTAACAACAAAATTTAAAAATCTCATACACATTTTTAAAAAAAAGGAAATTTAAAACAAATAAGGACTTTAAATGTATGGCACAATTTCCTTTAAAGTCTTTGCCTTCATCAAGCAGTTTGCGACTCCTCCCTATTATGCAGAGAAAAACCACAGTCACATCAACTACCCGACGATTATATCTGCAAGCTCAGCTTCTGTAAAGTGGGTAGACTTGATTTTTGTTTTTGCTTTGTTTTTTTGAGACAGTGTTTCACTATGTAGCTCTGACTATCCTGGAATTCACTATGTGGACCAGGCTGGCTTCAGAGAGCTCTGTCTGCCTCTGCCTCCCAAGCACTGAGATCAGAGGCATGTTTAAAGAAGCAGGCTAGATCTAAGAGTAAGAGGGGTGGCTCTGGGGCTCGTGACACACACGGCCTTACAGGTCCTGTCAAGGGAATATACATACTTGCTTTAAAACCAGTCTAAAGAGGGAAGGTGGTGCACCAGGACCAAGCGAAAGCAGGGGGATTGCCAAGTTTGAGGCTAGTTTGGGCAGACCCCATTTCAGAAAACAAATAAAAAGGGGTTTATGGATACCACAGCATGGAGTCCAGCATCTGAGGCAGTCATGCTATACAGCTGTGCTTTCCATCCCATTTTACAAAAGGATGAGCAGAGAGCCAACACAGACCCCAGACGGGAATCAAACACAAATATGCATGGTGGTGCAACCAGAAATCCCAGACTTGGGAGGCAGAGGCAGGAGGATCAGCCATCACTGCTAAGACCATCTCAGAAATGGTGGTTGTTGTTTTGGAGGGTGAGGGGGTGGGGAGATGGTTTCATGGGTAAAGGTGCTTGTTGCTGTATCTGATGACCGGTTTGGCCCTTGGGTCTCACATGGTGGCAGGAGAAGATTCCCTAAAGTTATTCTGCTGTCATTGTGTTCCCACGACCCCCCCCCCCACAATAAACAAACAAACACGATGTTAAAACCCTAAAGAAAAACCCAAACAACTTAGCACCCAAAGGAAGCCTCACAGCACACGCTACTCTGAAACACACAGGCTCCAATGGGTAGAAAAGTATCTAGTTCCCTAAAAGAAAGCAAGCATCCAAACAGCATGGCTGTGGTTCTGAGACCGGGTGGTGCTCACCTGAGGTGGAGTTCATCAGGGTCTGGGGCACGGCTGGGCTGGCAGGCGCAGGGACGTTCAGTTGCGAGAGCATGGCCTTCCGGGGGTCCTGCCATGTTGTCGTCTGATCGATGTGACTGAGACAAAGAACAGCGAGTCAGAACACTATCCCCTAAGAATGGCTCTCCTCACCACACTGCCCCACCCCAGCGGACAGTCCTCCCCTGGAGCACTCAGCGACACTTTCACCTCTGAAATGTCTAAGTATGCGATCTGAAAAGGTTACACCTGGTGACAAGAAACCACCGTTTCCTAGTGCAGTGTGTCACTTCTAATTCAAAGAGAAAATGGTGTCTAAATCACATAGGTGGGAATCGTGGCTAAAACTCAGGATCAGCCAAAAACGACAATTTAACAACAGGCTTTTAGGACTCAAAATCTTTTTCAAAAGTAAAACACAAAAAGCAAAGCATCCTATTAAGACATACACTCCAAAGTTAAGCTGAGGGAGAAAAGGAACTGGGCACCAACAGCTCCCCCACCTCCCGTGAAATGTGTTCCTGGATACCAACCACAGCTTCCCACCATAAGACAGTGTACCCTTACACGGCAGCTAGAAGAAACCCTCCTGCTCCCTTCCTCTCTCAATGGCTTTGGCATGCATTTTTTCACAACAGTGAAAGCAGTAATAAATACACAAAAACTCACAACAGCTAGAAAGGACAGTAACTGTTTCTCTCTGGGAGCTGGGGAAGAGCTCAGGCTCAGGAAAGGCATGGTGCCTGTCACTATCCTGTGTTAATGCTGGTATAAGCACACAAGTTCTAGGGCAGCAGCCCTCAGGTCAAGGCCACGAAGCCTAAACTTGGTTCAAATTTTGCTCCCTAAACCTCACAGAGAGGATGATTGAGTCCTCATCAGACTCGGGGCTTATTTCACCTTCCAAATCCTGTATACCAACTTTATCCTCGGGCAAGTCACTGGATCTTTACCAAATTATCAGTACACTTTTCCCCTTAAAAAAAAAAAAAAAAAAAAAAGTTATTTCTTGGTATGTGCTGTAAGCACTCTACCTTGGAGCTGTTCCTGTAACCTTCCCACTAACCCATAAATGAGTTTTTTTTCCCCAAATCTTAGGAAAAGCTGATAAGGCACACCCTCCTCACTGTTGAACTCAGGTGACACCAACAATCTTGTTTTCCAGCAACTTAAGACAGTGACGAGCACAGTCATTCTTCCTCCGGGCAGAACCTCTGCCTGCTCAAGTCTCAGGCTTGCACTTCAGGACCCGTATCTTATAGGAGCATGTTTAGCTGTGCTTCATTTGTTAGTTTATTCCATTTAAACTGTGCTTCTTGAGGGCACCGTTCCCCAACTGCTCTACAAAGCCCCGAGTTTCTATTAATCTTAAAGATCGAGATGCCTCCTTAGAGAAGCCTCCTTTACAGAAAAGCCAAGCCTGTATGTGTTACAATCCCAGCTATGGGGACAGGAAGATGCCACACTAGCAGCAAGGTCTGACCTCTGTACTTGGGGGAGGGGGCAGGTGGACCCCTGAAGCTCACTGGCTACCAGTCCAGCCAATAGAAGACCAGGCTCAGTGAGAGACCCTGACTCAAGATGAGAAGCAAGAGAGGAAGACACTCAACATCACTCTGGCCTCCATACATGTAAAAGCACACACAGCCGGGCGGTGGTGGCGCACACCTTTAATCCCAGAACTCGGGAGGCAGAGCCAGGGGGATCTCTGTGAGTTCAAGGCCAGCCTGGTTTACAGAGCGAGATCCAGGACATGCACCAAAACTACACAGAGAAACCCTGTCTCAAAAAACAACCCCCCCCCCCCCCCCCCCCCCCCCCCCCCCCCCCCCCCCCCCCCCCCCCCGCAAAACAAAGAGTGCATATGTGAACACATTAACTCACAAACACACAAAACCAAATAGCCCTGCCAAAGACAATCTGGATTCTGTAGTGTACGTAAGTTTTAGCAACCTACTTCATCTTGAGAAAGGGGGAGTGGGAACTGGTTTATTTACTTCCCAGGGTTTTGAGAATTAAATCCATACTTAAACAACCAGAACCGTGGCTCCTACAAAAGGCCCTAGAGTCCAGCATGGTGCTGCCTGCCTTTAATCCTGGGGGAAGCTGGGGGGGGGGGGGGCTCATCTTCATGAGTTCAAGCCTATCCCAGTCTACTTAGTAAGTACCAGGTCAGCCAGAACTACATAAGACTCTGCCTCAAAAAACAACCAATTCCCACTCCAACCCAACCCCCACCCAGAAAATTAATGAAAAAACAAACAAACAAAAAACCCCTCCAACAGACCAACCCACAGCGTGCGATTCTTCCCCTCCTCCTCTAGCCACAGTAGTGAAAGTAGCTTCCAGTTTAAACACTGTGCATTTGTTTCCACTCAGAAAGTTTAGATGACACTGTTACATTCTTCTACTGCATGCACTAGGATGCAGAATCTCAGAGTGGACAGCTGCCTGTTTGGTAGCTGTGCAGGATAAAATGGAAGACTAATCAGCTGAAAATGTAGGTTTTACTAGCTTAAGAAGACAAACATTTTCAAAAGCAGATTCTAGAAAGGGGTGTAGACATGCAGTATCATTAGGTTTCATTTATAACAGCATCAATTACTGGTGCCACTTCTAGACTGCAACCAAGATTACATCTCTTTGGACCAGCAGGATGGCTCAGCAGGTAATGGTGTGCTCGATCTCTGTGGAACCCACTCACCAACCAGGTGGGAAAGAGAGAACAGCTTTCATAAATTCGTCTTCTGGCCTCCACATGCACACCATGGCATGGGCAACACACACACACACACACACACACACACACACACACACACACACACACACACGATTTCTTTTTCAATAGAAAAGTGAGAAAATTTGCACTTAAATATAAGGTCAGTGAAGGGCCTAGTGAGAAATCAAGTGACCAACCTGACTCTCATATTAAGGAAAGCTGATTTTGCTGGGCACGATTTTAATCTCAGCACTCAGGAAGCGGAGGCAGGTCAATCCCTGAGTTCAAAGCCAGCCTAGTCTATACAGATTGAGATCCAGGACAGCCAGGGCAACACAGAGAAACCCTGTCTCCAAAAAAAAAAAAAAAGTTGCTTTAGGGGCTGGTGTATTAATACATACCATTAATCCCAGAACTCAGAAGGAAGTGAGTTCTAGGCCAGCCAGGGATACACAGGAAGACTCTGACTTTAGGAAAACAGCAAGGGTGTTTTAAACTGGGTGTGAAGACTGTTTGAATTTTGAGTTTTGGCTGTTGCCATTGGCAGCTCAGAAGACTCTGGTGGCGGAGCTAAAGAGGCAGCTGGGCCAGATTTCCTGCCCTTATCAAATCCATGCTTGTTGTGACAGTGTTATTTATAGTCACATGCTAGAGGCCATTCTCCAACCAGGGAAACCTATGTGCTTAACTGACTCTAGGACAATGACACACTGTTCAATCTAACCTTCTACTGCTCTGGTTCTGAAACCTCAGGCGTTCCTTTTCATAAATCCATCACCTACCTTTTACAAGTCTCAAAGGCTCAGAGATAAACATATGGCCTAATTCTTTGATAAGGACAAGACAATTTATACACTTTTCTTTTACGGTAAGTTTTTCAAGATTGTCAGAAGTCAAAATCTGAGACTGGAGTTCAAAGTGCTGGGCTGTCAGTAAAGCCCAAAGTGTGTATGTGACAGGTGATCTTCGGCTGCCAACGGCACAGCACTGTGTAACCTGACCTGAACGCAAGTTTCCTGCTCGTGAACAGGAAACAAGTTAACTAAGAGACCACAACATACACGTTCCCTCGGGAGCTGCTAAGAGGGAACTGTCCTGAGGAACAGCAAGGCTCAGGCCTAAGGTCATCTTCAGCCAAACGGTTTCCCTCCAAAGTTACATTCAACAGCCTTGTTGGTCACAATGTGAAGCCATGGACACCACGTCTCCCAAGTCCACAGCTTGTATTTTTCTCTTATGATACAGAAAATGACAGAAGTCAGCATGCATGGGTGGAGAACGAAAGCCCAGTTTGAGATTTCTGAGTCCCCAGGTCCTGCAGCCCCTTCCCTAACTGTCACTGTCAGGAAAACAATCAAAACCCACAGCAAACAGCAGCTCCAGGGAATCCAAGCTCTTAGACAGCTCTCCTCTGCAACACTCTCCCCGGAGTCTCCCTGAATGTGGAGAACTGCTAGGTGTGGAGAGGATGGCCTGGCTGGAAGAGCAGGTCGGCCAGGTTGGCCGACCTCCGGGAGACTCCAGGCCTAGGGTATGGGGTGGGGGTGTCAGAGTCGGGGGAGTCGGGTGTTGCATCTCCTGAAACCCCAGCACTCAGGAGGGTGAGGCAGGAGGATTGTGATGAATTCAGTCACCCTGGGTTCCAAAATGAGATCCTTTTTCAAAAACTGAAGGAAGGGAGGGAGGGAAGGAATTTTAAATAAGTCTCCTAAATCATCTTATAGACACCGTGATTTACCTAAAAATGCCAGATTACGTCCTCACTGCTTCAGTTTTATTGTAGTTGATTAAACTGATAATCCTGAGCAAATGGTATTTAAATGCACAATAGCGGATCAGGAAACAGTAACTTTGTTGTACAGATGAAAGGCAGGATTAATCTGATTTAAGGCCATCAGTTGGGGAGGTGAGACTGTGACGGAGGGGCAGGGAGCAAATATGTTCAGTTCAGACTGAGACCTCATCCTCATTCGCTGTGATCTGAATGAGCCTAAGGCCCTAGACTCAGGACCAGGAAGACAGGCTTGGGCAGTCCATCCACTCTCACCAGCTCTCTGTGGCCACACCACACCTGCTCAGTGCACTGGCAAATAAACGGCCTTTGGGTGTCCCAGCTCCCATCTCACTCAAGATCCCACCCGGATTTACAGGTGCATTGGCATTTCATCTGCTAACAACACAGCATGGCTGCAGCCACCGAAACCGCTAAGACAGGACCAGTCCGTTAGTCTACAAACATCCCCCAGAAGGCAGACTAAACACTACACAAGCAGGAAAATGGCAACTCACATGAACTATGGCTGACAACACCAGCCCCACTAAACATAATAAAAGAATCTTAAAACAGTATTTTCTTTAAAAATTTTAAATTATGTGTGT